AAGAAGGCCTCCTTTTTTTTTTTTTTTTTTTATTGACATGTTTCATGTTAAATATATAAACATTTCTTACACCATCAACAAAACAACTACCAATATTATTCGAATTTGTATTTTTACATGAACAGTGTAATTAATGTTCTATTTATTAAAACAAACTATATTTGAGTTGAGTTTAGTTTATTTGACACAAAAAGTAGCAATTCACTGTTACAACTTTTTTGTCAAGGATAACACAATAAAGTTACAGTAACTTATTTCCATTGTGGTCCTTGCTTTAAAAAAGAGAATCAAAATCTCTTTTAAAATTTTAAAATTCTCATCAAAATGCTTTTAAAGCATTTTTACATTTATTCCAAAATACTAACTATAAGAACACAGTAACACATTTCAGATTTCATGTGTATTTTATTTGTTAACTGATGTTCAGCTGTTCTTATTAATGGTCAACTTTAATAGTTAATTTAAGGCAGTGCATCCACGTGACTTTTCCCCATTGATTCTTAATTACTTTTCCTCTGTACCACTATTTGGTTAAAATATTAAGATGAATGCATATCCTATTCCTCACTGCACAATGTTCACATCTAATATCTCCAGATCTTCAGAGAAGCCTGACAGCTCTGCTGAGATGGGCATTTCCTTTGTTGCAAAAAGGTACTAGCCCACACTGACAAAAGTATATAGGGTGAAAACTGGTAAAGTGGCACAGTTGATGATATGGCACAGATTAAACTTACTCATCTATCATTATGTGCATCAGCAATAAGTTAAAGTGCCCCACTTTACCTGTGTAAACCCTATGTTATCACCATTATCCTCATCCTCTTACTTCTGCATGTGTATGTGGTTTGTAGGGTAGATATCAGTGATGATGATGATGACACTACAGCATCTGTTAAGTCTGTGCCTGTGCACAGGTAAACTTCACAACATCTCTCAGTTATACAACTTCAAGCTCCTATTTCTTGTTTAACACCATCTCATTTGTAATTGTATTTTATTTACAGTGTAAAATCAAACACTGAGCCAGTGGTGAAGGAGGTCAAGCCAGCAGCACCTGAAATTAAATCTGAACCTAAGCCAGTGACTGAAACTAAACCTACAACACAAACTAAAATAACAACTGAAGCTATCGCCACATCAGAATATAAAACAGCGCTAGAAAATACAACACAGCCTAAAACAGCATCTGAGCATAAACCAGCAACTGAAACTACAACAGTGGCTGAAACCAAGCCTACAGCACAAACTAAAACAGTAACTGAGCCTAAACCTACAACACAAACTACAACAGCAACTGATCCTAAACCCACATCAGAACCTAAAGCGGCTGAAACTAAACCTACAACAAAAACTGAACCTAAACCAGCAATTGAAACTAAAACAGAAACTAAACCGGCAACACAAACTACAACAGCAACTGAACCTAAACCCACACCAGAGCCTAAACCAGCTGAAACTAAACCTACAACAAAAATTGAACCTAAACCAGCAACTGAAACTAAAACAGAAACTAAAACTACAACACAAACAACAACAGCAACTGAATCTAAACTAGTGGTTAAAACTAAATCTACAACACAGACTATAACAGCAACTGATTCTAAACCCACACCAGAGCTTAACCCGGCCGAAACTAAACCTACAGCAACTGAACCTAAACCAGCAATTGAAACTAAAACAGTAACTGACACTAAAACAGAAACTAAACCTACAACACAAACTACAACAGCAACTGAATCTAAGCTAGAGGTGGAAACTAAATCTACAACAAAGATTGCAATAGCAAGTGATCCTAAACCCACATCAGAGCCTAAAGCAGTTGAACTTAAACCTACAAAAACAGCTGAACTTAAACCAGCAGTTGAAACTAAACCTACAACACAAACTACAACAGCAACCGATCCTAAACCCACCTCAGAACCTAAACCAGTGACAGAAACTAAACCAGAACCTGAAGCTAAATCTGCAACTCAGCTGAAACCAGCACCTGAATCCAAGCCTGAACCAGTTCCAGAGAAAAGGTTTGCTGTATTAATGTTCATATTACAGAAATGTAAATAATTGCATATCTGATGTTGATTAAATAGCCTTTTACGCTTGGTGTCTGTAGACCGAAACCTTTATATTGATGCATTTTCTTCATGTTTTTATCCTTTGCAGCCTGCCTGACACCCTGATATCCTTCAGCACAGAGCCTGCCAGGTACAAAGATGATCCCATTCATGCATAATAGCATCTGTCATACAAAGATTATGTTCATTAATCTCAGTGCCATTCATGTGTAAAGGGGTTTCATACAGTAGCGGAGAGTGAGAACGCTGATATTGTTGCTGTTTATCTGACCTCACTGTCATGTGAATTTATTGCAGTCTAAGATAAACTTGTCAGATTCACACAGTCACAGACGTGATCTAAACCCCACTCTTAGGCATATGAATATGTATTCAGTGTTCATAAGTACACTCTAAAAAATGCTGGGTTAAATACAACCCAGTGCTGGGTAAAATAGGGACAAACCCAGCAATTGGGTTGTTTTGACCCAGCAGTT